CCTTTCCTTTCCTTTCCTTTCCTTTCCTTTCCTTTCCTTTCCTTTCCTTTCCTTTCCTTTCCTTTCCTTTCCTTTCCTTTCCTTTCCTTTCTTTAAAAGAAAATGAAAAGAAATGGTTGAGTGACATTAGTCATACTTCCTTTCATTACTGATTGGTTTAAAAGTCTCTCGAGTCAATTGAAAATCTAGAGAGCATGCTCAGTGAGGAATGGTCTTTCCTTGGAGGAGGGTAGCTTTTGGGATGGGTTGTGTATAGATATTATAATGAGGAGAAGTTTGAGCAAAGCCCATCTGAAGGGATTAATCTGCCACCATTGTTGACCCAGCACCAGACATCTTATCGTACTATGTGGCTTATCAGCTGCGTGATACAACCAGGTTGTCCCCTCTGCAGAGAGAAAAACAGAGTTTGGCTGGGGTGTCTTCACTCCACTCCACCCTCCATTCACTCATCAGCTGCAGGGGACCATCAAGTTACCACCTCTGCAGGGAATCCAACAAAGTTTGGCCGTAGTGTCTCCATTCTGCTCCACTCTTTGTTTACTCCTGTTAGTGTGTGCTAGAAAGGGCAGATTATGTTGCCGAGGGAATCATGGAGAAGTWGATTCCGTACACATCAACCATCCTGGAAGTGGTAACTGTCTCTCACCTCAAGCAAGTCTCTGTAATGCCATTACTTCTGTTAGGCCCTAGTTTTTCTCTAATTTCCCCTTTCTCTAGCAATTTTCCCACTGTCTTATGTAAGCAATGGTTTCGAACAAATCTGTGTGAGGGTGATATCCTCATGTGGAGCAATGACCAATGCTGCAGTCATGGGAACGACATGAAGTACCATTGATACTCTGCAATGGGAAAAGACAGGAGACATAAACTTGAATAAAGTTCTAGTTAAAAACATTCATTTTAAAATATATCTCAACTCAATTGAAACAAGACAAGTCTGAAAATGTGCTTGTTATCTCTTTCTGCTCCAAGACTGTAGAAGGTACAAGCCTTAACCTCCTGACCCATCATTAACTCCACTTGGCCCTTGCTCAGCTACAACAGCCACCTTCAGGCTATCATTTACTCTAGCTATGTTCCCCAGAAGTTTGCTCTTCTCCCTTCACCACAATGATAATGAGTAATTTCTTCCTCTGGCAAATATGTGGTAACAGTGTTAGTAGAAGACAACTGCCTCAAAAAAACAGAAGACACTTTTAAAAAAAAAAAAAAAAAAAAAAAAAAAAAGATACGAAACCACTCCTACACATATTCATGCTTATCCATTTCAGTTTACAGAAGTATTACCTGATTTGGAATGAATGTGTGGTAGTTACACTAGATGTGTACAAGAGTTAGAGACCCCCAAGGAAATCTTCATGATCCCTCATATTGACAAGCAGCTTTGAGAAGTGATTTTTATGTAGTCTACTTTAAGATACAGTTGTTTATTTAAATGTATGTAGCCTACAGGTGTGAATGAGTAAGGGGTCATGCTCTATACATATTTTTCCTCTTGGGAAATTGAACCTATGTGATGTTCTTGTGACGACTTGAAAGATAAATCACTATGCATTGTTCTCTGGAAGTATGCTGAATTTTATGTTGTTGAAATATGCTGGCACTGCATATATTACTGGACTTATTGACTCCTTGCCTTGCCTTGCCTTGCCTTGCCTTGCCTTGCCTTGCCTTGCCTTGCCTTGCCTTGCCTTGCCTTCCCTTCCCTTCCCTTCCCCTCCCTTCCCTTCCCTTCCCTTCCCCTCCCTTCCCTTCCCTTCCCTTTTCTTCTTTCTCTTTCTCCCTTTCTCCCTTTCTCCCTTTCTCCCTTTCTTCCTCTATCTCTCTCTTTCTCTCTCTCTTTCTCTCTCTCTTTCTCTCTTTTACTCTTTCTTTCATTTTCTATCTTTTTATATGAGGTAACAGCACAAGAAAAATAATATATCTTTTTGCTTGCTAATGAAGGATATCTTCTTGTAAGAGACATAATGGAACCCTCCAAAGAGTATCTATTCAACCACAAAGGATTTTATTTTGTAACACAAGGAGCTACACCTGAGAACATAGATGCCCTGGAGACATTTGAAATCAGAGACAGCGATATTTTCATAGCTACCTTTCCAAAATCAGGTGAGAACATAACTGTATTTAAAATATATATATATATATATATAAGGCAAGCAAAAAAATAAAAAATAAATAAAACAGATACAGAATCATTTAACGTAATTAAACACATGGTGCTGAGCCATGGCTTAATAAGACAGGCCTGGGACTCCTGCTTGTGTCCATCTGAATCTTCATCATTCTTGGATCTCAGCCCTGTAGAGGCACTCAGAGCAAGCTGACACTACACAAGCACATCTGCATGGATTGTAATTCTCTCAGGTGTCCATCTTTACTGGTSTGAAAAACACAGGGAGGAAGGAACTGGACTATACTCTAGTACAGAACAGGAAGTGTAGTATAGAAGGGGGAAAAAGGCCACACAATGCAACTTTGAGAAGGCTAAATGGTTTTTCTCATTAYCCAAAGGAGTCAGGTACTCAGCATTCACCTTGCACCATCCTCCCCCAAGAGACAATTCATGCTGGAGGCACAGTGAGGCACCATAGAACAGGAATCATATTTTCCCTAGGAATCCTAGGGATCTGCTTGGTGGAAGCAGCTGCTTTGTGGGGCTCATCAGTGCCTTGCAAACTTGGCATTATTAGCTGTAGGTTTCATGACATCTCACAACAGCTGGGAGGGTTCCTGGAAGAGACCATATTTTCTAGAGCCCCTCAGCAGGAGAGAGTTTTAGACCTGGGGTCCACAGAGATGCAGGAATTCACTTGGCATCAAGGCCTGAGGACACATGTAGCTTGTTTTGAATACAGTGGGTAAAGAAACAAAATGCTTACTTAGAGAACATAACATTTCTGCAGTGACTAAAGAAAGCTATGTTTGCCTTGTGCACTCAGCAGGTAGTATCCCAGACTGTGCTGGGTCTCTTTGGTCTGGTAAGAAGTGCTTCTATCTCACATCTGTGAAGAGGCTCTATTTATGACCATATACGAGCTTAGAACAAGGAAAGAAAGAAATGAAAAACAAACAAGGTCCAAATAAAATATTTTCCTTCTCAGGAACTGTGTGGATGCAGAATATTTTGAATTTAATACTTCATGAAGGCCACCGTAATGGAACGGAGGACGTAGAGAACATGGACAGAATCCCATGGCTGGAATACAATTTTAGAAATATGGATTATGCAGCTCTTCCTTCACCTCGTGTCTTTGCYACTCACCTACCTTACTACTTAACTCCAAGAGACCTGAGAAACAAAAGAGCACGTGTAAGTATGAYCAYGGGRCTTCCTCTTACCTRTCAGTCTCCAGAACCGGCCTGCCTGCTGCCTCTGGCATCTGCTTCCCATCCTGCTTGGTGTCCGTGCTGGAGCAGGGGGGTTGGACTAGGTGATCTCCAGAGGTCCCTTCCAACCTCAACCATTCTGTGCTTCTATGAGCTAGTTGAGGTTCCTGGTGAGGTTAGTGCTGCCCAGAAGCTGGAATTGCCAGGAAGATCTTTTTCATTTCATCAAAAAATCAAAACCTAAACCAATGCAAAATGGAAGCTGAAGCTCAAGCTGAATTTCCTTTCAAGCAATTTCCAATGATTTTCTAGCACTATTTTTCCACACCTCACTGCCTTGCCCAGATGAATAGTAGCACTGACACATGTAACTCTGATTGCTAGAGGATAGGTAGCCATGGGCATTGAAGGACTCCATGGGGAAATGTCACCCGCTATAAACAAAGCAATGTACATTATCTGGACTCTGGTGTAACATTATCTGGACTTGACTTATCATGTTTGTCATCTTCAAGTTATTTTCTCATATTTTATGTAAGGACAGATACAGAAAACCACACAGAGTCATCGTAATGGAGCCCCTTTTTCAGTAATTTTCAGACTAACGTTCCTGTCTTTTTTGCAGGTTATTTATGTTACCCGGAACCCCAAGGATGTCGTGGTTTCATATTATCACTTTACCAAAATCATGTCATCGCTAGAGGAAGTGTCAGATTTCAGCCTTTTCTTAGAGAGATTCCTAGCTGGCAAAGGTAAGATTTGTATCCTGCTAAGAAACCCAAATCACACTGCCTACTTTGAGGCTGAGTGGAGATCCATTAGAGCAATSAATGTCACCTACTTGGAATCCTCAGCCATGAGGAACCTGAATGCAAAGCTGTGGAGGTGGTTTGAGCTTGAGACCATTTCTGTTGGTAAATCATGCCCAAAGGGGCTATAATAGGTAGAGATTTGCTGCTGTCCAGCAAAGTGCAAGGGACTTTTTCTTTCCCAATTAGACACGGACACAGAAAATATCCACTATGAAAAAAGAAAGAAGCAGATCAGGTTAACCTCATCAGCATGCAGGACTGTCACCCAAAGACTGTGATCATGAGGTCAAAATATCAGAAAGAAATCCCTCAAAASAGCAGAAAATGCAAATTTAAAAGAACCTTTCCAAAGACGTAGAAGGATATCGTGGATTTCTATAAAACAATGAATGCACATGAAATAGTCTGTTATTTGCAGCGAAAGTCCTCCTAATTGTGCCTCTTTGAGTACAGCTACCTGCCAAGCCTCAAGAGGAAAAGACCATGAAAATCACTGGTTTTTACACTTCTGTCCTCATAACTACTGGAGGTACCAAAAAAAAAAAAAATTCTTCAGTATTTATCCTGCTAATTGCATTTCTCTCTCTCTCTCTCTCTCTCTCTCTCTCTCTCTTTTTTTTTTTTATATGATTATTATTATCTGCCTGGGTAAGTCATGGGTAGTTCGTGGATGGATCATGTTACAGGCTGGTACAGCCACGCTCAGGATTTCAATATACTCTTCCTTACCTATGAAGAAATGAAAAAGGTGAGATGGGTTATATATCACTGTATTCCAAATATTCTCTCCCTGCTTCTGGAGTAGTTTCAGATGGGCCTCTGTGATAAGACTTCATGTTGGAAAGCCCTAAATCCCTTGTGGAATAGATGCAAGTTGATGATGTTTGTAAGGAGATAGTCACGTGTCTCACTGGTGCAAGGTCTTAGCACTTCCTATGGAAGAATTCTATAAAACCCTTTGCAGAAGGGCAGACTCCTGCCAGTTGCTCCTCATGCCTTGGTGGGACTTGTTATTTCTGTGCACTGGATGCCTTTCTCCTTGCCCTGGGAACGGGGACAGCAACACAGTGCACATATTGTCCACCACTTGCCCAGACTGCAGCCTGGGGCTGCTCACAAGGGGAGTYGAGGCCTTAGTTAGGACAACAGGTGGGACAAATTACAGATTMAATCCCTTCCTTTTTCRTCACAGACTCTTGCATCTATCTAGATCCAATCCAAAGCATCTACCGTGAGACACACAAGGAGTGTACAGTGTGAGGAACAGAATAGCTATTTGAGACAGCACTGCACTCAGTTGCTCAAATGAGACACAAGCACTCTCTCACAAAACAGATTTGAAGGTGTATTTATGTCATTTGTGTTTTTTCTTTCGCTACGCTTTGGCTCTTTGCATCATCAAGACATTTTGAATATGACATTGATTGTAGGATCTCAGAAGTGCTGTGCTCAAGATCTGCAACTTCCTGGGCAAGCAGTTGAGTGAAGAGGAAGTGGAAAGTGTGGTGAGACAGGCTATGTTTGAGAATATGAGGAAAGATCCCCGGGCAAACTATGAGAAAATGCCTGGACACCGCGAAGAGGACGGGAAGTGCCTCTTTCTACGCAAAGGTAACGTTAAATTAGAATGACACTATAACAATTTCCTGTCTCCTGGCTTGGAAGCCTTTCTAGTCTCGGCTTAGAAGCCTTTGTAGTCTCTCTCAACGGGACTAGAAAGTCCCATTTCTGAGGGACAATTTTAGGGCGTACAATTATACTTATCCAAAGAATGTTCCAGGTAGAGCATCTTCAATTTCCCTCTATTATCTCGGGGAAAATAAAAGGACGATATTTTCCCAATTGCAGCACCAATTAATGCTGTCCTGTGATGTAACCGAAATGATGTGAAGCAGGAACCCAGTCATTCCGTTCGTTCTGAAGGCTTGCATGTCACGAGCAATTGTAAAAAATGTGGATAGATTTCTCTAGAGAGAAGAGCCTCCTTGAAACAGAAAAAGGAGTTTGTTTCAGCACCTCTAACTGAGTTAAGATTTAAAACAGTGCTAATTTGCAGATTGCCTACACATACATACTGTTATATGTATCTTTGCATACTGCTGTTTATGTTGTATGTGTGTATGCATGTATACTATTTTTTACTTTTCAAGGCAAGGAATGTCTTTCTGCTCTTAGCACCCTCTGTTGCTCAGTGGGGCAACCTTCAAAGACAGGGCTCTAGGCACACTGAAACCAAAGGGATTTCCTTTAAGAGGTCTGTGCATTTTCTGCACAGCAGCTCGATTCAGAAGCGTGTCGTCAGAAGAACAGAGATTCACTCAGCACACCAGTGAAAAGGGAAATGCTGAGGGAAGCACGAAGCGCTTCCCCCAGTAGCTCTCCCTGCTTGCAAGGAGGCTTTCTCAACACGTGCAAGTTCTGCTTCTCACCTCCCTTTACTTCCTCTCTTTCCTCAGGCACTGTTGGAGACTGGAAAAACCTCATGACAGTAGCACAGAGTGAAAGGGTTGATGAAGTTCTGAAAAAGAAAATGGAGAGTCTGCCCATCAAATTCATCTGGGATATTAGTGATAAGGTGTAGGCTGCTTTCCTGGGTCATCAACCTTTGCTATTCAGAGTGGATGGATACGTTGGGTGTTGTGAAAGAACAAAGCACATTAATTTCCAGCTGCATTGTGGAAATAAAAGTTCTGTCAGCTCATTCACAATATATGACTTGACCAAGGAGGAATCTTAGTTACACCTGAAGCTTCACCATCTATCTTAGCTTATTTTCATTGCTGTAAACTACAATTTGATTCCTCTGTATTYGCTTTTACTCTCACTATCTTTACATACACCTGGTGGTAGACGACCAAGTAAGAATTGATCTTGATATTGAACATTGCTAAAAATACACTGAAAAAAATCACCTTTTTTTTTGTGGATTTCTCTAGTATAAAGTAGGGTATAATATCCACAGATGATGCTATTTACTGTAGAGTRTATCTGCTGGAATCGTGCTGCTTGCATTAGTGCAGATATAGAAATAAAACTATACGATAACTGCACCTTCCACAGACAMATCCATCTTGTAGTATTTTGGCATTGTTGTGGTTTCTAGGAGTTTGTTACAAGCCTTGCTCTTTCTTTCTCAAGATGGAGAGGAGCAATCCATTTAGATGTGCAGCTACCTAAACRGACTGTGGGAGTGGTCTGGTTCAGGCTGCCCTCTGGCTCTGCCTTATTGAATGTATTTAGTTGTAATCCCTGCAAAATGGCTTGGGATTCCTTGTGCCTRGTGTAGGCATCGACTTTMCACCTTAATGCTAGAGTACAGGTAGGCAGGAGACGTGCCTTTGGCCAATGTTTGCATAGRGAGCCTGAGGATTTCTTTTCAGAAACATCGGTTTSCTAGCACTGCAGAGGTTTGTACAAAGAAAGYTGACAAACATGGACAGAACCTTTCCCCTCCCATATAGTCTCACACTGAACTTTGTCCAACAGCAGCAAGCACCCGAAAGGTAAGTGTATGTTAGGAAATCAGGCGCCACTATCAGTTATCTACGTTGCAGTGTTTTACTGTTYKGAAAAACAATGAAACAYGTGGAAACTCTGTTCAATCAACTGCAGATAGACCTTGATTCAAATTCATGCTGACAAGCAGGGACACGGAAAGGCACTGAGAAAGCTGCTGTGAGACCATGCTTGCTGCTCTTTGAATCCTCAGAGCAATGCACCTGAGGGTAGAAATCAAGCTTTAGGACCAACAGATATTGCCTTTATTCATATACCTTTCAAAATAGGTACTCAATTACAAAATACTAAAGGGAGGGAGGACAACAAAARAGACAAAACATGTTTATCTGTCACCATGAGGCTTTTCTCTATGATGAAAACAAAAATCAACTTTCCTCCTCTTCTGGCTTATTCTTACGCTGTCCCACCCAACCGCTCTGTTGTGCAAGTTAGGGGACGCCCTGAGGTATTGATCTAAGTATAAAGTAATCCTTCTCAAAACACAACTCCGAACACGGGAAAATAATGTCTTTCTCTGTGATTTGATGAATGTGAAGGCAATGGTGATAAAGGTTTCAGGCATGATTTCATTATTCTGTGCGTGGAAAGACAGGCATCTAGAAACATGAAAAAATATCATCTCAGATCACATTGACTCATCTTGCAACTCCACAACATCTGGCAATAGAGCTTTACATAAAAAGCAAAACTGACTCTGCCTTGGCAAAACAACTAACTAAATAATATTGTTGCCTTCTTAAATGTTCTCCTACCACCTGTTCTCATCAGTTTTCATTAGGGAGGAATCAGATGAGCTCCTGAGGAGTCAAACTACTGATTTTTGAATTGTAAATATTCTTAYGGGCTAGWCCATTCTTCCCCCTTTCACTGAGGCTCAACCTTTAGGTCAGTGATGGCAGGGAGCAGAGTATAAGAGTAGCACCTCCTGGTGCTCTCCTCTGTTTTGACTGTCTCAAGAGCTGTACGCAGCCCTGATCACCACTAACATGGGCTCATGGTTGGTTGRACCACAATGYTTTTCAGGCTCTCTTAAATGAAAGAGCCTTTAAAACGCTCTTAAACAGAAGACAGGCCATGTATCTATGTATAGACCCTGTGACCCATTGCACAAAYAGTAGGTACAGACATAAATGCCTGCACAGGGATGAGGCAGAGGAAAAAAAAGGCAGCYTTTTGCAATTGTTCCCCAGCAGGGCAGCTGGTGACATAACGCTTGTCAGATTATAGGTAAGATAATTGCTGCTCACAGTTGATCTGAGGCACTACCACAGTTGATCTGAACATACTGCTTTCTCACCGCACACATGAAGTCCAAGAGTTCTCCACCTTTAACCTTTAAACCTGTACTTTGAATGAAATAATCTGATACCACATATACCTCCTAAGAGGTATATTTATGATATACTATCGCTCATAAAACAGTAAAAAAAAATAAAATAAAAAGAGAGATATCATTATAAAATCGCTTTCAGTTGCCTTTATTTTCTTCAAGTGACTGTGTTATCAGAATATTTTCAGTTCRATATTTTGTGAAGAACAGGATCCCACCTGCATATGTTGGAGGATCTGAGTGATGCTGTGTTGAAAATCTGCAATTCTGAAAGGAAAAAACTGAAGGGAACTAGAGTGTGTGGTGGGAGGAGGACATATTCTTAATTCTCCAATCTCTGTCTGAGTCAAAGATAACCACGTGCTGAAAGAAAGCCAACCAGCACTGTGTCAGCTGGTACACTGCTTGGTTCAAAAGGAAACGTGATTGCTCAAACACCTGGGACTCATTCCTGTCTCCTGAAGTGGGAAGTGACAGAGCTCACCTCAGGCAGCACAAGAGTGACACACAGAAGGTAAACACTTCTGAAATTGTTAGAACTGTGACATAAATGATGCTATGACCCCTTTTCAGGAAAATAGGGATAATTGCATACAGATCTTTGATGTGAAGCAATGTGAAAAGTTTTGCTAGAAAGAAGTCGAGAGGTCAAAGAGAGAGGACTGCTGTAGACTCCTAGGCTGACAGAAGAGGCTGGGGTCCTTCATTGCTGTTACAGAAATCGGAGCATTAGAAAGGAAGAAGTGGTCAGTTCTCTCTTAGTCAGCAAGGAAATAGGAGTCACAGTTGTGCGAGAGAGAGAGTGAAGCAGAGCAAAAGTGTGTGATGTGTGTGGATTCAGGAGTACACCTGAGGACACAGGGCTTGGAAGGAAGGAGTTCTTGAGCTGAAAAGGAAGGGCATATCCTAATCTCCCAGCTCAACTTCATATATGCTTGGCATGAATGGTCTTCCCAGGTAGSTACGGTATGATAAACTGTTTCTTTA